TCTAGTCAGCAGCAAATTACTATCCCTTGGAGGAAGGTGGCTTCTGAAACCACACTTCATTTCCAGAGATGTTCCTGGAACAACAGAAAATGCTATCCCCCGTGATAGGCATATTCCAGCAGCCCAATCTCAATATAGTACGAGCTGCAGCTACTATTAAATCAAGCGTGTGATCTTAACTTTAACCCTGCCTTCAGTCACTCACACCTACTTGATTTTTCACCTGTCAAGCTGAAGTTTTCCTGGTATGGACACTGCTAAAGTGTTTTTTGTGTACATACACTTGAGAAAATCTAAGCAAACAATTCAGTTCCAGAAGAGTAGCGGGAAAAGTATGTCTCTCATTATAAAGTCATTCTAATTTTAAGTCCCTTTGTTGAAATGGCTGGAAATAAACAACAGAAATTTACCATGGAACTAATTCTCCCAATTAAATTTAATTGTACTGAGTTACAGCCCTTTGAAGATTGCAATAGCCAGGTGCATAGAGGTGTCAGCCAGGAGTTACTGCATGTTGTATTAGATCTTACCCATTGTTTTAAACATGATAAAAAGCTATTTTTTCCATCTCTTATTCCTGTTCCTACAGTTGTATAAAATAGCACCAATAATTGTCATAGATTGCAAATTGTGAGACAGGGAATGTATCTCACTACAGAATTACATTCTATGACATATGGGTATTTGCCTGTAAGAGGGAATGAAGATTCCTTTATGGTCCCAGTCCACCTGCAAACTAGTTCAATGATACTGTACAGAGATATATGTACATAGCATATTGCACACAAACTAGTAGATAAATATTGACATAATCCACTCTATATGCCTTGCCAGTTTAGGGCCTCTTGAGCACTACAAACCGTTGTTTGAAGCAAACCACTATAAGTGAAGGGTTAATGCAATCAGTTGCCTTTGAGCTGTTTTCTTCTCTAACTTCTTTCTTCTTTCATGGATTCTTACAAGATGTTAATTTTTTTTAACAGTGTGATAAATTAGACCAGATCAATTACTGGGTTTATAATTGTTTTCTTTAACAGAGAAGGCTAAGTAGTATCTCATAGCATTTTAGTTTATATTAAATCTGGGATTACCTTGTACATAGCACCATGTAAATCAGAAAGTTAACCATAACAATCAACACACACTTTGGGGTTAAAAGCTCTACATGGTATATTAAATAGCCAGGTTACACTAAGGCCATGTCTGCACTATCTTTCATGCTGATAAAAACTTACATCACTTAAGGGTGTGAAAAAACATACCACAGAGCGATGTAAATTTGCTGGCATTAGTGGTAGTGTGCACAGTGTTCATCAGTGGGAGAGCTTCTCCCGCTCTCAAAGCTACAGTGACTCATCAAGGAGGTTTTATTAGGTCAATGGGAGCATTCTCTCCTAGAGTAGCTTCCTCAGCGGTGTTACAGTGGCACCACTGCACCACTGTAAGCTCCCTAGGGTATGCCTAACAAAGCAATGACATTTCAACATAGGTCTGCCATGATGAATGCATTTCCTTTTCCTTCTGTAGTTTTTTAAAGTAAAGCTTTTTATACAGTATGAGCTCACTAAGGCCGAGCTGAATACCAGCTTGCAATGTTTTACAGAGACACCTCACATGTTAAGTAGAATTAGGGCAGTTCAGATCTAGGCTGGAGAATCCCAAGAAAAAGCCTCACAAAACTGCCCCCAGAGGTGCAGCTCAAGCAGCATAAGCAGTCTCTTCCCCCAGCACAGTCTGTTTGTTTGAGTTTGCATCATGGGTGGCAGGTATAAGAGGCAGGGGAAGGCAATACCTTCCTAAACGGCTAAGTTTGGCCCAGCCTGTACTCTGCCCCCTTGCTCAGCACAGCTTCTGGGCTTCAGCTCTGCTGAGGACACTGGGGCAGCGTGCCCTCCCTGTGCTCAGAGGCTGGGACCATGTGCTGCCCATAGAGAGCTGGAAGCTTGTCCCTGCAATGGCGGGGGCTTATCTCCCATGGGGGACAGGGTCTCATGAAGAAGAGGTGGAGCTGGGGGCTTTCCTCTCCCAGCCCAACGTTTACTAAGCGCACATGGTTTGCATGATGCCTAACACAAAGGGGTCATAGGCACTCTTGCAATACAACTGATAAACAATAACATTATTGCTATGCTAGAGCAGCAGTACAGAGTGTGTGTTGTTCAATCTGCCATCTCTAGGCTTTGATGGAAAGCCTTCTTCTAAAGCACTGCCACTGTTACAGAGTCTAGTGCCTTTTGTTAAGAGATAGGGGCATCAGTGCTGGTGCAGGGCTGACTTACAAATATTCTGTACATCTCAAATTTCTCCAGAAGCATCCATTTATTGCTATGCTAGAGCAGCAGTACAGAGTGTGTGTTGTTCAATCTGCCATCTCTAGGCTTTGATGGAAAGCCTTCTTCTAAAGCACTGCCACTGTTACAGAGTCTAGTGCCTTTTGTTAAGAGATAGGGGCATCAGTGCTGGTGCAGGGCTGACTTACAAATATTCTGTACATCTCAAATTTCTCCAGAAGCATCCATACGCCCAATGGCGGACTCGCAAGTGGTGATAGGTAAATGATCTCTAGAGACAACTACATTTCCTTTAAAAGCACTTTGGGTCACTTTGGCATTAAAGACATTTATTTCAAAATTAACACAGGGGAAAAAAAAAGGTCCCTGTTCTCAGGAACATCCAAACTAGCCAGACTGCCAAAGTAATTCAGACTCAAAGCAGCCATTTTTTTTTCTGGTTCAAGAGCTGGTAGATTGTAGGTGGGCTAAAAAGTACTTAATAGAATTCATAGTCATGGTTGGTGGGATCTTCAAAGGGATGTTAGTGTTGCGAGCCTCAGCATGACAACACCTTTTAGGAGCCTACCAAAAAACCCCAACACCACAAGGACATCACTGTGACTCTCACAGCTTGAGTTAGACGCCTTGGCACCCTATACAGTGAATAAGGAGAACTAGGTGTCTTAGACCATCATCTACAAAAACAGCATGCTAGGCAGTGAGATGTCTAATATCCAAGAGAAGATGGTAACCTGAAGGGCGTGTATGTCATGTCCCATCCCTCTCGTGGAGACAGGTGCATAGCTGTTCTTGTGATCCATGACCCAAAAAAGACAGGCATTCAGACGCCTAAGTTGCATGTAGGCCCAAAACAAAACCACAATGAGTGTCAAGGGGAGGCCCCTCCTTATTATCTTTAGCCTGCTGGCTCATATACTCATCCAGGATGTATGAGACTGCCCTTCCCCCCGCTCAGTTTAAGTGCCCCCTCCTCCTGAAGGGGAGATAGGATTAGGGATCAGCCACCTTTCAAATGAGTGCTCTCACAAGTATGCTATGTGATAGTCTCAGGTGGGGCTCCCTCAATCTCTCCTATTATAGTTGTCCCACTTTATATAATTGAATAATTAAATATTAGTTGAGCCAAAGAGTGACAGGACTGACACTATAGCCAAGTGGTTGCAGGTGTCACCTCTATGTGGACAGCCTCAGATCACACACTCTTCATTGGTGAGGAGTGAATCACATATCCTGGGTGAGTTCTCTGTCCACTAAGCTAAAGATTAAAGGGAAGTTCTCTTCCCTCTTCTGCCACCCAGATATTTTGTATGAACATATCAGAGGGGCCTGATGCAGGAGCTGGGCTGTGAGCCTGCCTGCTGGATCAGGCCACACATGCAAGTTAGACAGACCAATGCCCACCTTTCCCACTGTATGCACTAGAATTAGGTGGCAGACAGGTGCCCAGACCCTCAGATGGAGGCAGCAGTACATATGCCCAGGGACTGAAACATAGGCACCCTGGGGACTTTTACTTCAAATACTTAGATGCCAAGCGAGTTTGTGTATCTACTGGGTGATGTGGAAGCCAAGCAGAAGTTTTTTGGCTTGCAACAGTACCTAAAAACACAATGAAGGTATCAAAATACTTTGTGGACTGCCCACTTCATCATTACATCATACAGGCTGTTATCCCATTTTACTTTAAATGTTTGTCTATATTTTGGACAGCTCTTTGCAATTTCTCCCAAGATTTCCTTTGAGGCCTCTGGTCTTTGATCATGAAGACATGATTCTGAGTGGTACTGTACATCGGAAAGAAAAGAGCGGGTTGGTGGGAAAGAAATGCACTTTTGTGACTGCTCCTTGGAAACGACCAGCATCCTGAACTAGCCCAGTTTTGATATTCTGCCTCACCAGATACTGGACATGGTGAGGGAAGTTTCCAGGGATGGTGAGAAGTACATAGTAACTATTGTACATATTTTAAAAAATGTCTGTTGCAAATCTGCATAATAGGAAAGACATTACAGAAGTCTATTTCTGCCGCTTGAATATTTTGCCTAGTGAGTAGGTTCTATCCTGAACCATTTAATTCATTATTACTAAACTTAGTACTGCTGGAGTTTTGGCTTCTTGCCAGCAAAATGTTCTAGTTTATTTAACACTTATCAGTTTGGTATTATGTTGGCACTGGCACAGTACGGCAGAAATAGTATATCATTGATGTATATCAGTAATAGCCTGGCTATTAAACTCTCTTTGTAAAGGCAGAAAAATTTTGTTTATCTTATTGCTTCCAGAACAGGACTTGGCCAACCACCTATAGCTGTTTATAGGAGATATGACTTTGAGACACATAAAAGATACAAAATAATAGTGGACAGTAGACTTCCCAGTACAGTACTGTTTATATGGAAGAAGAACATTTAAGATGTGACCTAAATCAGGCTACCTTTACAATATCCAGGTCTTGTTTCACATCGTCTTCTCTTCATGACAAATTCTGAAAATATTGATATGTCAATTAGACTCAATCAGTTATAAGGGTGGACACAAACTATTCCAATGATATAAGGATGGGAGGAAAAAAATATATTTTGAGGCTAGGAGCTTCAGATTGAGAAGGTGTTTGACAGTAAGTGTTCCGCCTCTGGGAAAGTGATCAGCTGTTAACCTGGTAATTAGTCTTCCCTTAGTAACTACAGTAAGGTACGACACAAAGAGAAGCATAGAACACCATTACTTATATTAAAAATAAAAGCTGACAAAATAAAATTAGGAACCAGTTACACAGGAAAAGGAGGAAAATTAATAAATACAAAATATACATATACAATTTTTAAAAATTATTGATTTTGGATGTTCAGCTTGAAATTTCTTAATAGGACATGATTGAGGTACCCAGCACTTTGTGAAAAATCAAGATCCTTTAGGTGTCAAGGTGGGTATCCAAAATATTCTGAAACAGTACAAGGAAGAAAGTAAACTGATGACTTGAGAAAGGAGGAGTGGGCAGTAACATGGTGAGGAGGCAGAAGTAACATTTTAGTATAGTTTTTCTATTCTATAATTTTATCTTGCAGGATGATCAAGCCTAATCATATGCTGAAATGTTTTGCTGGATCTGGACCAGAGTGCTTAAAGCTTTGCAGATCAAACTCTGTATCAACAAATGTCCTCGATTCTTTCAGAATAGCCTTGGTCTGCTTTCTAGAAATAAACCTCAGGATCTACTGTAATGTTTCTGTGCCTGCTTTCCAGACAAGCTTTACATTTAAAAATTAATAGAACACAGAGCATTTGTGTCAATAATACATGAGATTAGAAGAAGAAAAAAATAGATATGAAAATCAGAAATTCCAAAACTCCATAGTCTGGCCTATATAATTCAAACAATAAATGGCACTGGATCTATTTAATGTTTAATGTCGTAAACTCTGAGCTGAAAACAATCACATTAATGCTCAGATTCCATTTCTCTTTTGGAAATTCAATGTTAGTGGTAACCAAGCTGTCAGACTGACAACTCCAACATCAAAAGCTCTGTCTACCAAACAGTTGTCAATTAAAAAAAACTAGCAGTGCACATGTAATCCTTGCCCTATACTGCCACACCCCTTACTTGCTGGATCACTCCAAAATGGCAGGGAAATACATTTTTTTGAACTAAGACTGAACTATCTTTAGGATTATCTGTTAATTTCTGCTGAGATCAATTTTTGGGAAGCAATCATTTCCAGTTATGGTTACATGTACAAATATTAATTCCATATGATTTTGGTGCCATTTATTGTAGAAATTAATTTATGACAACACAGCTTTAACATACTTCCAACATGACACTTCAATGCAGGTGAAAACAAAAAGGTTTCTAAAGCTGGTAAGGAGAGGCAGTAGCCATTTCCTGGAAATTAAGTCAGACAACTCCATTGGAGCACCCAAAAGCAGGTATGCTAAGCTTCTCTCTTTTTGTTTTGATGGCATGTAGAAAAAAACAAAGCAAAGTGACCTTCACCAACTTGCTTTAATCCAGGAATCTATGGAAATGGGATTTTTTAACCTGCTCTACGTGGTGAATACTCTAAGGCTATGTCTAGAATACAGCAGTATCCTGGAAAAGCTACTCTGCCTCTAAGGAATGCGTCTGCTTTTTTTGAACAATTTCCAAAAAAGCAGACATGTTCTTTTGCCACCTCTGTAATCCTCATTGTATGAGGAAGAAAGGATATGTTGAAAGAGGAGGTTTTTCTGAAATTTAGCCTGTGTAGATGGGCCAAATTTTGGAAAAGCCTCTTTCGAAAGAAAAACGGAAAAAAATACTCAAATTATGGTTTTCAATTTGCATATCTTTTTCCAACTTTTCTTTGTAGTGTAGACCTCGCCTAAGAGGGGTCCCTCAGATTTTCAATCACCCATTCCTTCTAGACTATAATTTTCACTCAGTTTCTATTGTCCTGGTTTAATTGGGTGCATAGTTTGTCAATTTCCATAATAATAATAATAATAATAATAAAAAAAATATTTCAAGCATGAATTCTGTACTAACAGCACAATTCTCTCAGACTCCAAAAAGAAAATGCCCGGGGCAACTTCTAGAAATGAAGTTGCACAGTTTATTCCCCCAATATCACTGATTTTTAATCTGTGAACAGGGTGAGAGCAATTGTACAAAGAGAACTAAAAAGTGCTGTCCTTACTCTCTGCACTGGCCTCATTTTAGTATATTTCTACTGACAAATTTACATATATTGACATGAGCAGAAGAATTTGAGATTTCCATTGCTCTGAATGCTTGTCATGATAAAAAAATTGGCTGTCAGACTGAAATACATACCCCTAGCCATTCCACTTCTAGTGCAATCTACACAATGCTTAGAGTTCAAACCATAGCAACATACTCCTTTTATTGATGCACAGGCCAGTGAACATATGCTATGTCAATATCTTACCCCACTGAGAAGGGGTGGAAAGGAGAAAAGCTCCCTCTGTCTGTTCATCTCATATGTAAGAGGCTTGTTGTAAATTTGCTCTCTGATTATTCTGTTCTTGAACATGAAACATTTACATATTGGAAGTGTGTGTAGCAGAAGAGTCCTAGAACACCAATTAAAATATTGGTAAAAAGAAAAATTAAAATATGATAACTCTAGAAAACCAGGAAATTCCTGGACATTAAAATTGGAGAAGCATGTCAACTTCTTCATAAAAATAAAAAAAAGATTCCTTATTACAGACCATTCTTTACATGCCATTCCTCCACCTCCCAACACTACAATCCCTGTTTTTCTCCCCTCTGCTATGTCGATGATAGAAGACATCTTCCTACTCGTTTCAGTTTAGAAAATATTAAGAGGTGGCAGAAAATGGTGCCCAGCACAATGATTTAAAATTCTAAGTTTCAGATCAAGTATTTGATTTAAAGTCCTAGGATAAGGCTGTTCTACTAGAGCTAAGTAGTTTCTTATTACAGAAATAACGTACATGCACCGTCAAGTGACTTCTAGTACAAACAGTACACAGATAAAATGGTTAAACTGAAAAGCTTTTGTAGCTTTCCGGGCATCAATATGAAAGGCACTTTTCAGGTCACATGACTTTAGAACAGTGATTCAATATAGCCTTGATATCTCAATAACTCCTTCAGTTCCTATGCAAGTGGCGGTTGTTGACTGCCCAGTCTTGCACTTCTCCACTGCCAAATAACGCAAAGAATATTGCTCCAAATAAGTTAATAGAAGCAGCAATATAGAAAACGATCTGCCATTCTCCCACAGTATTCTGCCAAGAGAAAAAAAAAGAAAGCAATCAGTTCACCGCATCTTAGCATGAAGAGTTACTAGAAAAAACATACTTATTCTTGTCAAGTGAAAATTCTATGCAGTGCCATTTTATGTTGACATCAAAAGCATTACAAATACAAAAAGTGAATTTAAATAACAATAGGAATCAAATTCAGTAAAAAATGCTTTAAAATGATATTCTACTAACATTGTGATAACGTTGGTCCACCCAGTTTCTCGTTTAACAAAGCTAAACAAGACCTGAATGTATTGTCTCAAAGTGCATTTTGGCTAAACCACTGCATGGAGAATGGAAAGGACTATTCAGTTTTCAGAGCAGCACAAATATGCTTTATAGATAATTAGTTTTATTATTTGTTACTATATTACTATTCCCCCCATCAGTTTTACATCAACATTTTAGCCTGGACTAATTTTGGCCTAGTCAACTGGTGGTAGTGAAGGGATAGCATTAAAACTAGGATGAAGGTTTGTAGTCTAAAGAGGTCTAGGGTGCCAGTCTAAAAAAAGTCTAGGATGCATGGATGGTATTGGCTAGTTTTTTTAATAATAAATAAATAGAAGTTTACATATATGTAGATTTTTTTTTAAGTATAAAAAGCTATTTTGAAATAGCAGGTCACTATTCAAACAAGCTTGCAAAGTATTTTTACTGGTAAAGAAAGGAGAAGAGTAGCCAAACGAGAATGTATTAACACCACACTAAACAGTATAAGAGAATTTTTGTTAAGCTGTCCAGACAAAGCTGATCTGTTTAGACGCACAATATTAAATAATACTTCAGTGTTTTTCAAAGCAACGGTTGGAGCAATTTATTACTAAGTTACTCAATTCACTAATTGTACTAGTAAAGTCACTCATCCCACTTGCCCTCCCTAATGTATTCTTAAATAATTCTATAATTCTAAAAGAAAAGCATTTTCAGATGTACATGATGGTTTCTCACTTTATGAGCCAGTAGTGCAAGGAATAAAAAGTCTCAAACTGGGTATTTAATTCAAGTCTCTGATGAACTCTACAGTGTTTTATAATATACACTAAAATCCCAGGATATACATTTACAAATAAATGTTACAAATCAACAATTGAAAGCAGTTCCTTCCTTGCCTACCGGACAAGTTTTTAAAATTCAGGATTCAAATGCCATCATTCTTCCATAACTAACCAAGGCAGAGTTTGCTTCCAACCTGATAACATGTGTAAAACTAGAATAGCCTTGTCCGCAATAGGATTTTACCATATACAGGCACTCCCCCGACTTGCGACGCAATTGGTTCCCAGGGAAGCGTCGCAAGTCAGGGGGGTCATAACTCGAACCCTCATTTACAATAGGAGCCGTGCACAGTTGTAAATGCGGACCGAGGACATAAGTCAGGGATTTTTGGCCCAGTCTGCACTTACAAAAATGGTTGTAAGTGTGGGGGGTCATAACACAGGCCGTCAGAAGTCAGGGGTTTTCTGTAATAGTTTTCACTTGTTAGCTAACTCGGGATAACGTACACTCATTTTTTCCTCTACCTTTAGTGAAGACAAGGCCAAAGTCACTCACAGCTAAATATTTAAATTCCTATGTGGCTCTTCAAAATGCAACCTCACATTTTACTCCCAGTTTTACAGCCACCAAAATAAAAGCCAGAGTATAGTACTTTATAACCACCTAACCCAGTAAGACTGGGATGCTCATTATGTGTAATTCTTGTATAAAAAAACCACCATCTCACAAACAAGAGGGCATATAAAACTTCATCAGTGAAACAATAAACAAGTAGTCTTACATGGTGAGTCAGGATTTTCGCAACGACTGGCCCCACCATTCCCGGGATAGTGGCAAATGAATTTGTGATTCCAAGCAGGATCCCAGCATACCTGTAGAATAAATTGTTCATATTGCTTATTAACTTATTCCCATATTTAGTGAAACAGCTTGTTATAGGAGTCAAATCACTCTCAATTATAGTCTCGTCAGATCACATGAGCTGAACAAAGCCAAGACAAGTTAGTACTTGTGTGGGAATGGCTCCCATTTATTTATTTTAAGAGCAACTCCATGTCACCTTAAAATGAGTTATTGGTTTAGCTGATCCATGCTAGCTTGTTATAGGGTTGCCACCTTTTAGGTAAGCCCAAACCAAACTGAACTGCCAAGAGTCTTACCCAGCTTCTTACCCCATACCATGCCTTCTTTGGGAAGCCCTAACCAATTTGTCGAGGATAGAACCACTGGAAAGGTGAGGAGAAAAAGGGGGTGGAAGGTGAAGTGGGGTGGCACATGGAGCACAACAGAGTGATGTGTGGGGATAGACAAAGAGGACCTAGATGCCATTGCTAAGACAGGAGGCATTAATAATTTCTCCAATTACTTTTTATTGCAAAGCATAAATTTCACCAACACAGGGCTTTAGAACACAAGTTCCTTTTGTTCCCTTCAGATTTGTATGGTCATGATTGTAGCACATAAATAGGGGGTGGGTTTAACTAAAGCCACCCATGTTCCTAGTTGCCACTCCCACTTTTAAAAGTCCACTTGCGGACATTTGGATCTCTGTGGGATCCCAGGGTATGCTGATCTCAACACACACAACAGTCTTATTTAGATGACAACTTGCTCTGTGATCGTGAGCAATCACTTAACTTCTTTGAGCCTCAGTTTCTCTTCTCTGTGCCTGTAAAATGAATATATTTATATCTTATAGTGATGTTGCAAGGCATATGGACACCATGTTTGAAAAATGCTCTACCAGTGAACAACATTAAAGCAAATTAGTGGTAGGAGAAAAACTAAAACGAGACATTTCAGACTTCCAATTCACAGCTCAAGGGATTGCAAAAGCAGAAAGGCTTAGTGGGACATTATTTGCAGGCTGGATTTGCTGCCCTCAGAAGCCATATAAAGCCACTAATTGAGGTTGACCATGAGCTAACCAAAGGGGAAAGAGATATTCCCAAAAACTATATTGGTTTAACGCACCGTTTAACACAAAAGAGAGAAAATCCTGCCGCCTTTCCCCAGGTACAATGGAAGAATTCATGTTGACTTCAGTATTTACATTATGGAACCTAAAAGCCTTCCTGAAAAGATATCCTGCCATTCTACTTACAGCAATAGGAGACTCCAGAAGAAAGTTCACACGGGAGGGCCCATAAAAGGCGATGGTGCACATTTATAGTCAGGAGTGCAGGAACAATTTGTATACTGGGGTGCTGAAAGCCATTGAACCAAACTGTAAACCCTGTATATGATGGAAATCAATTCAAACCAAGGGGATGCTGCAAATCCCAAGGACTCCTCATTCGTGCTAATTCTATGCACACAAGATGGGATTAGCAGTATATTTGTGTGTGTTCTGAATAAAACATTTACAATCACAGCCCTGCAAATCTGTGGGTATCTGATTTATATCCACAGATATCCTCCATGCACCATTTCTGCAAATAGCAGAGTGGATGTGATACACATTTTGTATTGGCACAGGGATCAGAAGGCAAGAGCTTGGTGGGAATCTGTGAAAAACAGATTTTCCACTAGCCCTGGACAGGGGTGCTGGGAAGTAGAGACAGGGGCAAGGGGCTGTTTGACATCCAACATGACTCCCTCTTGCCATGGCTGGGCTTTGGCTCTGAGCCACTTCCCTCCATGTCACCCTGGGCCAGAGTCAGGGCGGTGAAAGACAGGCTAGAAGCTTAAGGAGTCTGGTTTCTCCAACTGCCCTGGGCTGCACTGCTCCAGCCACACCAGCTTGCACCTCAGCCCAGAAACCATGGTAGAGCCTCCATCCACCTTCACAGGTGGGACTGAGGGCAGTTCCCGGCACCGTTCCCGTCTCCCAGGCTCCCTGTCTGGCTGAGGGAAGGTGAAGGGTCCAAAGGTCCGGGTGAACTCTCATAGCTGCCAACACAGCTCTCACCGGTCCGGCTCGGTTGGTGGGATGGGGGTAACTCAGAGTGTCAGCTCATCCCCTGATGTATAGCCCTGCAAATCCACTGTTATCTGTATCTGCAGATAACTTTTGTGGCTTGTAAATCACATGTAGACACATATTTTTGTATCCACATAGGGCTCTATTTACAAGGCAGCTACAAATTCAAGCTTTGAGTCTATTGGCTGATTTTTCTTTAAAGTCACAGACTTACCAAACCTATCAAGGCAGAGACTACATTTTCCTTTAAATCTTGATGTTTTGACTGAAGTGATGTTTATTTCTTTTAAATAAGGTTTGTATTCCTTTGATAACTTGAAAATGCATAAAAATTAATGAGGCTCTGTGAAGTTGAATGTCAAAGTGTAAAAGCCTCTAGGGGCAGATATGTGTATAACAAGACTCTATAAAGCCCTTAACGAACCTTACATGCAGCAAATCTTCCTTAAAATATGTAAGCACTGAAACAATATTAATGTGCACTTCCAAAACTCATTTGAGCCCCAGAGGAGCATTTGCAATTCATTTTTGGCTCACCGTCTTACACTGCTGTGTTTCTGACCTAGGTTGTGTACATGATAAGAGACAGTCTGATGCAGATAACCACAGTGCAACTCCCTATACAATGTGAAGCATCAACATGAAACAGAAAGCTTAATATGACAAATCTGCAAAGCACGGTCCAACAGTTTGTTAGAGAAAAGAAACGCCCCCCCCCCCCCAGTAAAAAAGTTTGGCCAGGCCACTCTTGTTATAATGGGCTGCATTACTCCTTGAGAGAAGCCGGCTGCAACCTTCCTGCATATCATTGTCTTTAGAAAAAAGGAAAGGTGTGAAAATGGGAAAATAGCCTCAGACTCTCCCACCCGTCACCTTGGTGTGAGAACTGCGGGGCTTACCTGGTCGCATGAAACCTGCACAGTTTCAGCCCTACCCCTGGGACACAGACCCCCCCACTTGGTGACTATTGGGCCATATATGGTAATATTCAAGTGCGGGAAAGCGATGTGCAGATTTGGGGATAAATACCCATCGCACAGTTCGCTCTAGGAGGTCTTCGCAACACACGTACCACCGTGCGTGTGCCTTCTTGTATACTTCCAAGCGCTGCCGGCCTGATCAACCGACCAGCCACCTCCCCCGACTCTTGGGCGTAACCAAGGCCTTCGCAACCAAACCGATATCTGTGAAATGTTCCGTGTGCTGTGTAAGTTGGTATGTATGATTTGATTTTTTCCTGTTGTATAAGCTTAGTGTTGTAGTTGTTTTTGGGTAGTACATAAGAGTTTGTAGTTATCACTGTTATTTAATTACTGTAGCTGGATATTTTAAGATTAGAAACTATTCCTCTTGCCATTCCCATCCTTATATCTCTGACACGTTTAACTAGAAATCATAGAATAAATATAATAAATACTGTAAATTCATTATTAACACGGTCTATTAAGAATCTTAGAATAAATACTATAAATTCACCACTGTCATAAATAAATATTTTTTATTTGATAAAACTGTCCACCTGGTTCTGTCCTTCCCCCCTTGGGTATTTATCATCAGACCTGTGATTCTCGCGACACAGTTGACTTCTATCATATATTAGGGGATCCATGAATACAATGGACACACTGATTAAGTGACAGAATAAGGAGCACAATGTAAGATACATGATGTGTTCAGCACACCAGAGCTGTGGGAACAATATGTGAGCTATGTGATGAAATACTAAGAATCCTCATCATTAAGGAGATATCTTACTGTAATTGGTTGAATTAGCTAAAATTTCAGTAAAAAAGCAGAAGCCATATTTTCCCCACACTAATAATTTTGCCCTTTCTCCAATAATTTCAAATGTTTATAACATAAGAGATGCATGTGTATTATAAATTCATGTTTTTTACTTGGGTGTGAGTATTTTTGTTCACTTACGGAAGTATTTCCTTGCAATAAATAATATTTCTTATACAAATTCTTGCTCTGGTGTGTCAATTGTTTTGAATAGCAAAAGGCCCTTATGGTGACAATGAGCAAGTTCACCACTAGATTCTTTTATAAATTCACAGTAATTCCACAATTCATTTTCTCCCCCTTCAATGCTGGGACACCCTCAGTTTGAAATTTTCCAAAAAAACATCAATCAGTGTGGTTCAGCTGTTTCTAAGGGATATAAAAAATAACCATGAAAACTGTTAACCAGTTAAACTGTAATAATGTAATCAATGTTTAAATAGGGCTGTCAAGCGATTAAAAAATTTAATTGCAATTAATTGCATGCGCCTCCCCTTTGAAACGCTGCGGTGGCGTTTCAACAGGGCAGCACTGCATGGAGCCTGGGATCAGCTGGAGTCCCCAGCTGACCATGGGCTCCATTGCAGCGCAGCCCCTTTGAAGCGCTGTTGTGGTGCATCAAAGGGGCAGTGCAACACGGAGACCAGGATCAGCTGGAGTGCCCTTATGACCCTGGGTTCCACTGCCATGGGGAGCCCAGGATCAGCTGTGAATCCCCAGCTGATGCCAGGTTCTGCGGCTGCCCCTTTAAAATGCAAACTCTAGAGAAATGCCATGAGGAGCCTGGAATCAGCTGAGGAGCCCCAGCTGACCCTTGGCTCCAGGGCTATGCCTTTGAAACGCACACTGGCACACTGGCTGTGTAATGATGCCCAGCTGATCCTGGGTTCTGTGCAGCAGTGGAACTCAGCTGGGGAAATGCCACTCAGTTCTGAGGAAATGCCATGCAGAGTCCTGGATCAGCTGGGCAGTCCCCAGCTGACCCCGGGCTCCAAGGCTGCCCCTTTAAAACGCCACCTCAGTTGATCCTGAACTCTGCATGGCATTTCCCCAGAACCCGAGATCAGCTGAGGAGTCCCCAGCTAAACCCAGGTTCCATGCGGCACTTCCCCAGAACCTGGGGTCAGCTAGGGACTCCCCAGCTGATCTGGGTTCCGGGGAAATGCTGCGTGGATCCTGGGATCAGCTGGGGAGTCCACAGCTGACCCTGGGCTCCACTGCCCCTTTGAAACACGTGGAGGCAGCATTTCTAAGGGGCAGCCACCACACAGCTGATCCCTGGCTCAACTATGAGGCGGCTGCTCCTTTGTAACACTGCCTTTGCATATTTCAAAGGGGCAGCAGAGCCCGGGGGCATCTGGGGGCCTGCCAGCTGATCCTGGGCTCTGCATTGCGCTGCCCCTTTGAAGCACCACAGTGGCACTTCAAAGGGGAAGTGCAGCATAAACACCTGTGGTTAACGTGTTAAAAATTTTAACATGTTAATCCTGGACTGTGTTAATCGCAGGCGTTAACGCATGTCAATTGACAACCCTAATGTTTAACTGGCTAACCGTTGGCAGACAGCAGCCAAAACCAGATGCTCACCTGGCTGCTCTAGAGCACATCCTTCTGGCCCACCAAAGCCAACTCAGAGAGGCTGGGGATCCAGAGTCTCACCCAGGCTACTCCAGTGCAGCTGGGGCTGGGGCTTGTCATTCTAGTCGGGGCTGGAACCAGAGTTCTGCTGGCCCATCTGTTTGGCTGTGGCTCCACCTTCCCACCTAGCCCAGCTGCGGCCAGGTTCTGCTGCTCCTGAGCAGCTGAGGCCAGGGTTCTGCTGGTGTGACAAGGGCTGGAGTCCTGCTGGCCCATCCCTACTTGGCTGGGGACTCCGGCATGACACAGACACAGTAGCCAGGGCTGCTCCAGCCTGGTGGTGGGTCGCTGGATGTCTTACCAGTTATGCAGTAAGCATGCTGGTAAGCCTAATGCTTATTGGATAACTGGTTAAACGGTTAACCTTTTACATCCCTACTTCCAAGCATGACTTATTTTTCCTGGATCTTGTTTTTAGACATGGACAAAACTTGGGCAAGCTTTTCTTTGAAAAAATGCTAAGGCTTCGCTACTCTGAAGCAGGGTATTGAAATGTGGCTGAGTGGGGGAGGGTGGTGAATGGGAATACTGGCAGCTGTTGCTTCTTGAATGATCTATCCCTCCACCCTCCAGGAATATCTGCCCAAATATGATCTGAGGGAAAAAAAACAGCAGTTTTCACTTGCTCTCTCGAGACTTCTTAGGCAGTGACTAAATTTCCAGAAGATTCCAGCTGAACTGAGCACACTCAGCAGGATGAGGTGCATGGGCAAGGACAGGGCCGTAACAAGGGTGGGGCAAGTGAGGCACTCGCCTCGGGCGCATCATAAATTGGGGCGCGAAGATGCAGTAAGTAAAAATAATAAGCTGCAAAAGTAAAAAGTGCAATGGATACTAACCTAAGGAGAGGGGGAGCATAATTAATATTTTGCCCCAGGTGCAAAAATTCCTATTTACGGCACTGGGCAAGGACACTTAGAATAGAGAGTCCAGAGAACCGAGAGTAGGATGTGCTGGGCAAAGTGACTGAGAACAGAAATCTGAAGAATGGAGACTGGGGCAGACTAAGTGAGGAAGCGGAATTAGAAGAAGAATTCAGAGGTAGAAAGACTGGACTGGGACAGGTTGGAGGGGATAGGGTGAAAAGGGTCATGCGTGTGGGAAAATAAGTAGAAGATTCTGTATTTATTAGATCTATTCCATCCATTGTGTCTGGAATGGAACCCAACATACTAATAACCAAGGGCACTAAATGATCCCTATAAGCTAAGCACTTGGGCGGCCACCCAGGAGAGATTCAAATGCTGCCCAACTGGTTAGCAGAGCACCCACAGCACCTAAAGCCGGCAGCATGTGTTTTTACTGATGATGCACATCTGCACATGCTTTGGCACACAACAAAATTTATTCTGCACGTGAATGAAAAAATTAGAGGGAACATTGCTGGCTCCTCTTTTAGTGCTGGTATACGTAGAGTTTGGCAGTTTACTATTACTCTCAGTTACTCCATTAGCTCCAGTGGCAGATATCTGTGTGATGGACCTAACAGTTCCAATCCTGTTGATGACCCAGTGCAGGACCCGAGAGTGCCAAGGGTTTGGATTGTGATCTAGGGCAGGGAGTTGGGGTGCAGGAGAGAGTGGGGTGCTAGATGGAGTCTCTAGAGGCACTTACCTAAGGAAGCTACTGGTCAGCAGCTTAGTGGGACCCTTAGGCAGGCTTCTTTCCTGCCATGCCCCCACAGGTCACGCAAAGCATCCAGCTACATCTATACGCAGCACACCCACTGAGGGAGAGGGGGCTCCATGTGCTGCCTAGGCAGCTCCCATTGGCCTTTTCCAGCCATTGGGAGCTACGAAATTGTGCTTTGCTATTGTTATCATTAATCCTAAATGTAACAGCCCCTCAGCTTTAGTGTTAATACATGATGAAGATCATCAAAAATGTCATCTGTATTAAAAACAGCTTTAGCAATACTTACGATGGTGCTATGTCCAGGTGGTTGATGCCAAAACCAGATGTACAAAAGCCTCCAAGTGTTGTTGATATGGTTAGGAATGCAACAGCCAATGTGTAGTCACAGCCTATGAACCCAGCTGCTACTAAAAACACTGCAGGACCAATCATACCTAAAAACAACAACTGTCATTTAGAAAGCTCCAGACTAACTATCACACAGATCTTAAATGTTATTTTAGCATACAAAGACCATAACACTAAGTTATGTATTTAGGTGTATTTTCTATATTATTACTGCCACCTAGTGTGCAAAATGTAGGATGGTACTATTGAAATTAAAATGGAGATTTGCAATTTTAAGGCTCCATTAGAAGAGAATCTAGGATGTCTGTGCTGTATATGTCCATGCCAGTCGCTTATAGGAGAGCAAACTAACTGGATGAAAGATCATCAGAAAGTAATTGATACTGATCAATCTAACCCAATCAGATCAAGTCCATTTTACCTATACATTATGATAAAATTAACAGAGGTTGCACAGCAGATAAAATGGGGGAAGACTATAACTGCGTGAATCAGATGTGAACAATAAGTTGAACTGAGCCTGACTTTTGCAAGTAGATTCATCACTGTAATTGCGCAAACATGTTAAGACTAACTTTCAGCCTGTGAGGTGTTTGTTGAGCTATTTAATTTGACTATTCACTATCAGAACTGGTCACTTAAGTCACATGGTATTGCTTATTCTCCTGTCACCCCTGAGGGACCAGAATGAACAAAAGGTAAACAATGAACACTGATGTTAGGGCACAAATATCCCAATTCAAATGCAAATACAGATCTTCCTGCAGAGAACAGTCATTCCCCAACCATTTGAGTAACCAAAAAACAATTTTGCATGAACATCAAATAAGGGTGGGTTACTTCTATTCAAATTCAGAGGAATGTCTGCAAACACTTTCTGACCTTCAGGCAACTCTATGTGTAATTACTCAAAATAGTCTGAGCTTTGCAAACCATCAGATATCAAGCAGGAACGAAATTATGAATTCTGTGTTCAACATTATACCATCTGTAAAGCTCATGATACCATATATATTTTTGTTAGTCTCTAAGGTGCCCCAGGACTACTCGTTGTTAACATTACAGACTAACACAGCTACCCCTCAACATTACTTTAGTCAGTTTCAACTGGTGGTTCCATATGCTCCTCAAAAGCGTTAATTTCAGAACATTTTGATGCGGCATTTTGTCATAGTTCTTTCGAAGGTGCTCTTTTCAACAGGTAAGTTCTGAAGTATCTTGAGACATACAAGTAGCAACGAAAACACAAGAGTCTGGATTTATATGAACTTTGTCAATGTAGTGATATATCACACACATGAAATGATGGCAGTCAGTTTTTAAAAAGTTAAAATACATGTCTAGTAATATCTTTGGAAACTATGAATTCTTACTTGCCCTCTTTATAGCAGATGGATGTTCTGCATGAAAGTATGAAGACATGGCTTTTATGACGTCTTTTTCAAGCTCAATGTGTCAGGAAAAGAAGAAAAACTTATTTTAAAAATGTGTACCTATTTCAGGATTTCACATTTTGAATTTGGCTGGTCTGGATTTCAAAATGTTCTATCTTTTTTTTTCTTTCCTCGGCTTCATTAACTAGCTGTTTCCCCTCCAATTTACAGGTATGTACAAAACTTATTGTAACAAAGATTTTCTTGGACATGGGTGACTAAAATCAGCCAGGTTCTGCAACCTGGAAGATACCAAGATTAGTCCATGATAACCACTTCTTAACATTCTAAAGTGTGATGATGATGATGGGCGATCACTTGATGCGGAGTATGATCCGCACTTGTTGCAGAGTTGTGGACTCTCAGGTGGCTGATAAGGCCAGTCCTTGAATCACAAGTTCTATTACAGTGAGAACAGATGTTTCCAGTACAGCAAGAGGCTGCTGACCATGACTAGAAACCAGTCTTGCCTTCCTCCTGCACCTCTTCTCCTCTTCAGCATGTCAGCAGGCAAATTCAAGGTGCAGGGAGCCATTGAGTAGGACTTGTCTCCATTTTGAATGATCCTGGGCAAGTGTCAACATCAAAGTGTATTGAACTACAGATAGCAATTTACAAGTCTCAGGACTTGTCAACACTTACAGCACAGCAGCCTTGGGTAGCCTAATGAAGAAGCTACCTATGGGTACTCCACCTTCCGGGCAGTAGCTATGTCAGTGGGAGAAGTCCTTCCAACAACATAGTACTGTCTATACTATACTAAAAGTTTTGGAAGGTGAAACTGCATAGCCCATGGGTGTGAATCAGGGCTAAATCTCACTGACTTTTAATAGCTTCAGGGGGTAGCTGAGTTAGTCTGTTACAGAAAAAAAACAACAAATGGTCTGGTAGCACTTTATAGACTAACAAAACATGTAGATGGTATCATGAACTTTCATGGATACAGTCCACTTCTTCAAAACCACAAAGCTGTGCCCACGAAAGCTCATAATACCATCTACATGTTTGTTAGTCTATAAAGTGCTACCAGACCATTTGTTGACTTTAATAGTTTCCTCACTCACTTAGATGATGAAAAATTCATCCTTTGATGAAAGCATTGTAAAAGAAACTTCTACTCTAGTGGAATCTATTTTTTTCTGAGAAAACAGATGATAGATGCTGCTTCTAGCTCATCTGAAGAAACAGGTTTTACCCACAAAAGCTCATGATACTATATATTTTTTGTTAGTTTTTAAGGTGCCACAGGACTATTCATTGTTTTTAAATAGATATATTGTCCTCTAACAAGCAAAGATGAACATAGTGGACTGATGAACTTTTTCCCCAGAAGACATTTCAGTGCAGATTAGTGAGGAAAAAACTCTGTGTTTATTATTATTAGAAAAAAAGGTCTGGTATTTACATTTCTTCAGTCATGTATACATAGCATGTCCTCAACAGCACAGCACACAAAAGTTTAGAAGACTTCTAAACTTAAAATGTGTCAAATATTCTTCTTAACTCATTCACTGTTGGGGAAAATAAGTACATCCAATAGATGAAGAAATTTGCAAAAAAAATTGCAACTCACATTTTAAGAACAGGGTATAAATTTAAAATGGGAAGAGGGACTTTTATTTTAAAAGCTAGACACATAAAGACAAGGCCAGTGTATGACTGGTGCATATCAAACCACTCAAACTTAAGTCACATAGGTCCAAAGGAACCCTAGGAAATAGCATAATACTGATGCTTAGTCCAGCAAACATACATACATTTTGGCCTAACTGTGCATGTGTCCCCCACCCCCAACTCCAGGAAATCACCAAGATTAACATCATTGAACAGTACCTTTCCCCAAACACTCACAAGTGAACCCACAGTAGATCATTTGTGCGGAGTCAAACTCACAGTGCCTATATTATCCCTAACTAGGCCCTATTAAGTGTTTTACACTGAAGAAAAATAATGCACATTATTCATCTAATTTACCTACCTATTACAGTAAATGTTTTGCGCACACACACAGTGGACAAGTTCTGTTTTTCCCTTAAATAATCAGCAATTTGACCAGACACGATTATACACACCCAACATCCAAAATAAGGCAGTGCAGATAAAAATCCATTCTGAAGAATAGACAAAAAGATGGGCAAGTTAAAATACTGAAAAAAAAACATTCTGAAGAAGTATTTATGCTACAGAGATAAGAAGATACTTAGCTCTACTAAAACCGTCAAGTGAGCCAACAGGATAGGCGCCTGTTCTTTCATAGGACAATCAGGTATCTGGTGATAAGGTAGGCAGACCATTGCATTTTTTACATCATTATTTTATTAAATTTTAGAAAGTAGGAGTGAAGGAATACTGCTCAGAGGTTACCACATAAAATCAGTGTGATGAGTATTCCGTTTAACAAAAAATTGGCTTGGAAATAATTGTCAGATGAAAGACAACTCAATTCAAAGGACAAAAGAGCACAGAACATGTACCAAATGCCAAGTGTCTAAGTCACAATTCTTAAGGCTAACAAAAATGTTGAAAGTGATATTAACCTCCCAGTTCAGAGTTTAATCCAATATCCAACAACTATTAGAGATCCAATAGAGACCTAATGTAGATGGGTCAGATTATCCAAGGCTGCCTTTTGTTAGGTTTCTTATCCAGTATGGCAATTTCTACATCCCTGCCGACTCAGTGTTGTCACTAAACCAACTGCAACACACACAGAGATTTCCACATAAGCAGCATTTAGTTCCAGTGTGCTCTGTACTACTCCAAATGGTTCATCTGATGTCATCTAAACTATAAATTAACTTAACCTTTTTGGCTTTTCACTTACCTTGATAACTATTCTCTGCAGTGTAACTTGCAAACATCTAATTTTTGACTTAAAGGGGTTTTTGGATGTTCACTGGATGGGGTACTTCTCTAACTCAGTAATAAAGTAATATGCATAAAATATTGCTTCATATTTGTTTTCTGTTCTAGAACCCAATAGAAACTTCTGTATGACATTTAATTCTATAATCAAAGCTTACTGCTACATTTGAAATCTAAGGCACAAGTTTCTTCCCAACAGGATTCCTCCTAATCAACACTCAAAGATATTGCCCATTGTTTTTCAAACTTCTGTTTTTATGAAGAGCTAGAAGTAAAAACACCTAAAATCAATCTCAGTGCTAGAGACTTCCCTTTTGAAGTGTCTTTCAAGTATCTATCAATATTTTAACAAGTTCCCTTTTATTAGCTGGACATACATCCAGGTGTGAAAATAACTTAAATTTCTTACAAGTACTGTCATATCACAACATCCTGCCTAAAGGGTCCTCAGGGCAATAGGCTGGGGGTGTATGTATTGCAATATGATAGTACCAGTAAGAAATTTAAGTGTGAGTTGGAGTGCAGAGCAGGGAGGGTGCTGTTGCTCAGGGCAGGGGGTGTGGCTGTGTGGGGATGCAGGAGTCAGTGCAGGGATTTAGGGTGTGTGGAGCTCAGTGTAGAAGATTAGGGTGTGTGGGGAGATGCAGGAGTCAGGTTTGGGGGTTTGAGGAGCAGTTCAGGGCAGAGGACTGGGCTGTGAGTGGAAGGGTGCAGAAGTCAGGGCAGGAGCTTGGGAGAGTGTGGGATCTAGGAGTGTGGGATCAATTCCATTTAATTGGTTAGCTGGTTAAATGCAATGTTCAACTGGTTAACCAATTAAAGAGGTAGCAGCTCTCCCCCTGCAACTGGGTTGCTGACATACACAGGGGCTGCTCTGGTCAGGCTGGAGCACCCCTACCTGTGGTGTGCCAGCAACAGACTGCTCCAGATGGCCCGCTGCCTGCAGGGGGCCCCGCGGGGCTAAAGAGCTTCACCCTTAACAGTGCAGATTACGGGTTAACCATTCGCATCCCTAAGGGTCAGGGAAGGGTGTCTGTATGTGGGTGCAGAGCAGAGTCTGGAGGGCTCAGGGCAGAAGGTTGGGGTGTGTGTGGAGGGTGAAGGAGTCAGGGCTAAGGGGTATGAGGAGGGGCTCAGGGTTGGGGTGTGTGGGAAAGTGCAGGAGTCAGGCAGGGGGCTATAGATTTGGGAGGCTAAGGGCAAAGGGGTGTAGGAGTCAGAGCAGGGGCTTGGTGGCATGGGGGGGCGGGGAAGGTCAGGAAAAGGGTTACAATGCGTGTGAAGGAATGCAGGAATCCAAGCTGGGGTGTGAGGAGGGACTCAGGGCAGAGGGTTGGTGACAGTGACAGGAAGGGGAAAAAGAGGAGCGTTGTCATGGGAATCTTGGAGGGAGAAGCACCTCAGCTGTTCCTGCTCTTGCTAAAGGGTACCCTGGGGTGGGGCAGTTCCGGATCACTGTGGGAAGGGCGCTCCCAGCCAGCCTCTTTAACCTGCCTGACTGCCTGCTACTTAGCATGGCAGCCTGCAGGAGAGCCCCAGAAGCCCAGCTAGAAACATGCTCCGCCTGCTCCTGCAGCAGTAGGCTCCAGTGCTTGCTGGCCAGCTCTTTCCTACTAGAGCGGTGCACCAAGGTACTACACGCATTACTTTCACCTCTGTTGAAACCAGATACCGGAATAGTGTTGACACTGTATGGCAGCATTGCATTTTAAATATTAATATAATTCCCAACTGAAAAAGTGTCAACACTCTTGTGCAAGAGGGTTTGGTTTTTTTTAAATGTCAAATGACCTGAAGTCAGCTTGCTCTAAAAACACTAGAGATCCAGGAAAGTTGCACAGCACACATTTCTACTTACAGTTAAGCAACAGTGTTTTACAATGTAGCAGAATTAAAGGCTGTGGTAGCAGACACCTCTGTCATGGGCTTGCTTGAGGATTCTAGCCAACAGCTACCAACAGCTCTCATCCAACCATCCGTGTTAAATAGGAAGGACACCATCCTATGCTTTCCAACCTTTTATTTAACTCCAAGCACCTCTAAATTTGTTCCCTGCCTACTTCTCTTGGCAAACTATTTCAACAATGATGCTAGAACTTTCTTCTTAATGTAACCATCACAGTCAAGCAGCCTAGGCACCCATGTAGGAATCAGGACACCTGGCTACTAAGCTGCATAAATATAGGCAAGCCTCTTTATCTGTTTTCCTTTGTCTGTCCGAAAAGTGATTTGGAAGTTGATGTCCCTATAACTAGGTCCCAGAAAAATATGACAATATAGTCAGGATCTCAGGTGATCTATTTAGTCAGAGATATATATTTTATTAATTTACATTTTACTAATTTCTAACTACACTTGGAGCCTCCTCTTGTTCTTCTAATTCATGCTACTTTCTGTGATTCTTCCTTTGTCTGTCTGGGCTAATAAATCATGAGAAATAATTATTTAGGAGGTTTAGCTAAGGAATAATTTAAGGGGCATCAGCAGG